CTTTTGAAGGGTGTGAACTAGTGCTAACCGACCGTCCTTTTGAAGCGTGTGAAATATTGCTAACCGACCGTCCTTTTGAAGGGTGTGAACTAGTGATAACCGACCGTCCTTTTGATGCGTGTGAACTAGTGATAACCGACCGTCCTTTTGAAGCGTGTGAACTAGTGTTAACCGACAGCCCTTTTGAAGCGTGTGAACTAGTGTTAACCGACCGTCCTTTTGAAGCGTGTGAACTAGTGCTAAACGACCGTCCTTTTGAAGCGTGTGAAATATTGATAACCGACCGTCCTTTTGAAGCGTGTGAAATATTGATAACCGACCGTCCTTTTGAAGCGTGTGAAATATTGCTAACCGACCGTCCTTTTGAAGCGTGCGAAATATTGCTAACCGACCGTCCTTTTAAAAAGTGTGAACTAGTGATAACCGACCGCCCTTTTGAAGCGTGTGAACTAGTGTTAACCGACCGTCCTTTTGAAGCGTGTGAACTAGTGCTAAACGACCTTCTTTTTGAAGCGTGTGTACTGGTGCTAACCGACCGTCCTTTTGAAGCGTGTAAACTCGTGCAGAAACAATCCATYAAATGCATGTCTTTGGGTTTAGGGAAAGAAAAACAAAGTAGTTATGATTCAGTTCACGATTCCGAAAATATTAAGGCATTAAAAATACGTCTCCTTCAACACTTCCCGCTCGCCTACGAAGGTTCGTGCTGTAAACCAGGCATAACTAGTCGAATAAAATTACTGCAGTCGACTCGGCTTCAATGATTGCAGGCATCACAGCCACTTTTTAGACAAATCTGATAGGGAATATAGGCTGTACAAGTTCAAAATATAGGAAAATATAGGATTTCCCCCCAAAAATATATGCACTTTATAGGAGCTAAGATAGCTTTTTGGTGGCGTAACCAGGGATCGGGAGGGTGCACAGGCAATGAAAGCCATGAAAAAAAAACAACAAAAAAACAAAAAACAGAACCAAAAATAAAATAAAAATAAATAAAAATAAAATAATAGGAGGCCATTTTATTTCCTTCGCCAAATATGCTAAACAGTGTAAAATATAAATGTATCAATCAGCAGTCGTCCTATTTATAGGAAATATAGGATATATAGGAGGTCTCGGATGCCTGTGATTGCTACCCAGAGTTCCTTTCGGTCCAGTCGCGTAGGCTTGAGTTGGTCGACGACAACGTTTTGTGAATAGCCCACTTCCGAGATATGCTTCGCTTGTCACGCACAAAAGGTTTCAGTATGAGGCAACGTGATAAATGCTCAGTCATTCGTGACAGGCGGTAAGAATWAATTTAATTTAGCACGTAGCCTCATACTGAAACCTTTGTGCGTGACAACCGAAGCATACAGTGTATCTCGGAAGTGGGCTATTGACTGTGTTTAACTGATATGCCTCCCCAAAATAGGCCCGCAATGCCAACTCGACCAAGTTTTTCCCTCAACCTAACGACTTCATCTAGGGAATAATTCAAAGACTAATAGGAAATAAGGATCATCGACATTAGTTTTATCGCGTGGTTAAAGGTAACGTATCGAGCAATTGATTTTCCAACATTCAAAGTTTCCGCGTTCGAAGTTAAAAAAGTCTTTCCGCACTCGCTTAAGGTRCGACATCAAAACTAATCACAGCGATCCCAGTTCCCACCAGTCTTTAGGCTGTGCCCCCTCGGGCTAAAAAATAACAAAACAAAAGTCAAGATAGGTAATGTAATATCAATCAAGACTCTAATCCATTACTGAAGGAGAAGCATGTTGCGACATTTCCTTTTTATAGACCCTAACTTCCACCTCCTAAAACAGGGGCCGCGGAGCGCGTTTTGGATTGGGGGGCTAATATTTCAGATATCTCTTCAAAATACTGAACTTTATATCAAAAAGAAAATAAGCGAATAAATCCAAAATAGCGACAAAATTATTAGTGGGGCTATAGCCCTAAGTCCTCCTCCCCAGCCCCGCCGTCCCTGTAAAACATCAAACGCTTTGCGCTGTGAAACTTATGCATGACTATTCAGAACATTTCTTGCTCTGGTGGCTTGCTAACCCAAGACCCATACTTCGACTTCCTAAAACACTCGAACATCAAACGCTTTGCGCTCTGAAAACCTGTTGCTCTTTCCTTTGCCTCTCTGTAAGTCTCTGAGTGAAGCAGATCATTTCTCTGTGCTTTGGCGCAGATTTCTTTGAACAAGTTGTATAACGATGCCTTACAGATACGCGATGGCGTAGGACTGTTATTGGTTCTCGACAAACACGCCCCCGTTCGTCCATCCGTCACTTCCGCTGCTGTGTCATTGGTGGTCCAATTTACGCTCATATTGTTCGTCTTTTCGGTGTGTCTTGTTGCTTCATATGCAGTGACACGRCCGAGTAAGGGGTGGTTGATTTTGAATGGCTTTGGCAGTTCGCCAACAAGATCAACCTTGTGTTGCAATCTACAGCACACAGCTCTCGATAGATGCCCATGATCATATAGGTACCCCAAGGTTAGGGACTCTAAATAAATGGGCTCTATGAAATGGCTTAAAAGAGCGCCTTGAAGTCCCACAACGTTCCACCGACAGATCTTATCACTGCAGGACATGGTACGCAATCTCTCCCCACGAAGAAGACCATCCCAAGTTTGAGGACCTTCGTTTGTATCAATCGGAATAGTGCCTTCACCGTCCTCTATCTTTGTCCTTAGAATTCCTTGAGATTTGGCTGAGAATTCTGGGGAATGTTGGTGACCTTGAGCTTCTGGTTCTTTTAGTACATCGTCGAGCCTTGGAGTAAACAGTGCTCCGTCGCCACAGGGGGCCGTGCTGATATACAAATGGAATGAAATGCCTTCCTTGAGTTTCAGAAGGGTCGCATTGTTCATCTTCTCGAAGATAGACTCATGGCCATCGTAGAAGCTGTTGAGCTGAGAATAAAAGAACCGGTGCAAAGATCTCCTAGCAACGATCTCTGCGTGGGAGTCATTCACAACTTTGCCTTCCATGCTCAACCGCTGGCCAGTAACACAGCGGTTTCCTGCGCCAAGGCTTACAACGATACCAGGATCTTGAGCTCCTTTTTTCATCACAATACATGCGATTACCTTTCTCCCGGCAAATTTGTCAGGAATAGTGGCAGCAAGCTGGACAAATGCATGCTGTGAAAGTGCTGCAATCATATCAAAGTGGGTCCTTGCGCAGTTTAGACTTGATAAATTAGGCTGAGACAGGTTTAACTGGTTGGTTGGGCTTCCTGGGTCTAGGTTGTGGCCAAGAAGAGCTCTAAGAGCCATATCACATGCTTCTCTTCTCGCGTCTTTCATATTTGATGAGGTAGCAGCAGGGTACATTTGGCCACCCAAAACTACAGCAATTGTAAAAGGCGGCTTATTGAAATTTCTCCCTTCATTGATGACCTCAAATGTCAAATCCAAGCGATTTTTCTGTGCATATTCATTCAACGCACTTACTGGGTTTTGATTGATCGCTGAATGCACTACTTTTGACAGCGCTTGGGTCTGCACTTCTGGCTGAGAAGATGGCGATAATGACTTGTGAGTGTCAGGCGTGCCTTCGTAGTGAACTACCTTTTGTGGTTGACGATCTTCTAATGATAAAGTTCTCTTGCCAAGAGGATTGATTGGCTGAGATGTGCTCTGCATTCTATCATCAGTGAAGGTATGAGGATAGTTTGTTATTCCAGAACCAAGGGGGTTTGCGTTTTTGGTAGAAAACCGCTTACCAGTCGTGGTGCTCCCATGAACTTCACTCGTCACCAGACTTAAGTTCTCGGGTCTTGTCTTCCAGGTTGGTGGTTTGTCGTGCACCTTTACAATCAACCCCATAGTCTGCATACGATACAAAGATGGATTGACGTCCTTTTTGGTTCTCAATCCAACACCACGTGATATCTGTAAGGTATCACACTGCTTTCCTGTCTGTTTCATAAAGTCTAACACCTTCGACTCCAACTCTGTCAGTTTTTTGATTTGATTCTTGGAAGACACTGGCTTTGATGACTGTGGACCCTTCTTTACCAACGTCTCGAACATTTGTGCAGAAGGCGGTCGAGGAAAGCTTGAGCTCTGCTGCCTATTTTCTTCAAAATGGTTCCCTGCATCTTCTCTAAGAGCTGTTTTTTGAGATCTTATTTCCTCTTGATTCAAGGTACCAAAACTTTTTCCATGTGGTTGAGAAAAGAAACTATCTTGACCATAAGATGGGTTGAAGTTACAAGCAATAGAAGGAGCATTGTTTCCTTTTACAATAGAACGATTATTTTTGGCTTGTCCTGGAAGAGAATTGTCTTGGCCAAAAGAAGAGCTGCCAGAGGGTGGATGGGCAATTCTTGGAGAAAAATTATTATCAGGATATTTACTTCCAGGAGGAGTAGAAACATTCATAAGAGATGGAGGGCTTGTTCCACTTTGTGGAAAATTACTGAACGAATGCTTAGACCCAAAACCAAAGTTTCCAACCAATGGATGATAATTATCGGCTTCTTCTGCAGACGTTGATGCAGAGAAGTGGTTACTTGCTGAAGAGTTAAAAAATCCTCGATTATTTTTTAGAGCTGGCTCCGAGTTTCTCGTGTTACTGCCTGCCTGCTTGACTGGTGCTGAAGGGAACTTGCACTGTGACATCAAAGACTTAAACAGCTCGGCCGAAGGAGGTGGAGGACATCCTATGTTGGCTTGTTTTTGGAAACCAGTTTTATCGTGTGGAGAGACTGAGTTGTTTTCAAAATGGCTTCTTCCTAGCTGAGAAGTAAAGACATCAGAACTGTATTGTCTGGCACTAACAAATGAATTATTTTCAAATTGGTCCAGGTTTGATACTCCTCTAGGTGGACCTTGCTTTGAGTTAAGATCACCATCAAAGGGATTATTTGCAGATGTAACCCTATATTGCATTGATGGGTTTGGGGAGTGACAAAGATTACTTTCCTTGGGTGGAGTCGGCTGTTTTGAAGGTCCTCCTACCAGTTGCCATCTAATAGGATTAGTCCCAACTACTTCTACTAGTCCTTGTGAGGCTAGCGATGTGAGGCAGTCTTGGACGTGAATGTTAGATGAGCACATTAAAATGCTGTTCAAGATTCCTCTGATTGTGAATGAACCACCAGAATGAAGGACATCCATGACCTGGTCCATTAAGCTACCATTAGGATCTATCATGTCTTCATCTACGTCTGCATCGAATCCTGACTGGTCCATTGACATGCTGTCATCTGTTTTAAAAGAAATACCTTCTTTAACAAAGAATATTGGCCATTTCGAGATGGGGAAAAAGTGGGTCGAGTAAACACTGCAGTGCATTGTGGGACTGTTTGAGGGGTCAAAATACAGCCATCTTGGAAATATGTTCCTTAAAGCAGTACCACAATGCACTGCAATGCCAACTTGACCCATTGTTTTCCTCAACCTAGAATAGCTACTTTGAAAAGAACTATCAAATACAAATTGTATAAAAGAGCTTATTTGGCCACTGGAGGTCACTGGGAGCCCAATAGACCCTTTTCGAGGTCCAAATTACTGCTGCATTCCTCGATTACAGACTCATTTACTCAGGCTTTGCCTCGCATCAGTGTTTAAATATTCACAACTACCAACGGTAAAGTAAGGAATGCACCGCCTTGGCAATACAAAAACTTTGAAACTCGACGGACCTTGACTGAGACATGTTAATATTCTAAACAAAATCGAGGCTTAGCCTGAGTAAATGAGTCTGTAGTCAAGGAACACAGCGGTAATTTGGAACTCGAAAAGGGTCAATTAAGATAAAAGTGCAAGGCTAAAATAAAACSACGAAAAAATATGAAAATGTTGTAAAATATTTTTGGATAGCTTTGTTTTCCAAAAAAAATTTCCCTGAGGGCCCTAATATGTAGGAATTTTATTTCAAGTTTTACATCAATGATTAATACCAAGTTTAATTTCAGCATTAATGTTTTCCTATTTCATATACCAAATGTTATTCCCTAAGAATACGATTCTCTGTATTTACACCTACTTGCAAGAAGGTTGTCATACAAGAATAGAACATTAGTAATTTAGTGAGAAAGGAATTAATTTAAGGACAAAAGAAAAAGTTCAGCTTCAGTGATCTTCTTTTGTTTTTTAATATAATTCCTATCCCACTAAATCACTAATGTTCTATTTTCGTATGACAACGTTCTTGCAAGTAGGTGTATAAGTGCCACTAGAAAGTAGTTAATATGCTTGCTTTATAAATGCACTATTATCATTATATTCATATGTCTATTCACATGCATTTATGAAATGATAAAAAATATGAAGTCTTTTATTCATATATAGAAAATACTATAAACCACGACCTTGTTATCTTTGGCTGGATTTTTGTATTCACTGTTGTTATGGAAGATACTATCACAAGAACTATCACTTTTTATTCAAATTGGGCTCCCTGTGGTATAATGTATATTTTATTTGTGGTGTATAATATTATCTGCCTCTGGCTCAGTAATTATCAGTGAATATTCACCAATGATCACTGAGCCTGAGATGAATAATCATTTTAGCATAACCAGGATAAAAAAAACCTTCTATTATTAATTTTACTTTTGCTTACTAAAGTGATATTTTTTCTACTTATGACCAGCGAGCATCATCACAAAATCACTGGCTACTCAAACAATCACAGTGTGCAAAAATCTATTCAAGTCTAAAACTATAAGGAAATTATATAATATATGTATATGCAATATACCTTTCCAAAATGTGCTTGAATGGCCATGAAAAATTGACTCCAATTCAATATTGGACTTAATTAATGGATTCATACATTTACTGCATGTTTGTTTGGGAAGCATGGGTGGTGTAACCTCTCACCAAAGTGAYCCGCGCTGATTTGATTCTCCCCAGGCTCTGTATAATATGTGAGTAGAGCTGCTTTGGTTCTCTCCTGTGATTTGAGGGTTTTTCTCCTGGTTCTCTGGTTCTTCCTTCACAAAAATCAACTTCTAAATGCTAATCCAATCTACCTGTAGCCTTACCAAGTGTATTGCAAAACCTATTAGGCTTTTCATYCACCATGTAGTGGTAAATCCAATTATTATTATTATTATTAGATTTTTCTTATCAAGTCCATTACCTTGAAATGGAGCCTTTGCTTCGTGGTCACTCAATTGAATTGAATTGAAGACTTTATTTAATGAGGGTGACACGTGACAGTAATTTTGTTAACTGATAAACTTGTGGCCCTTAAGCAAATTTGGGAAAGCTCTCTAATCATTATAGAAGCATGGCTTAAGCTACGGTACAGCATTTAATGCTAAACAATAGATTCTGGGATCATCTAAAATAGAAAACTATTTTAAATCTCTTAACTCATGATTAGACTTCAATAATATAACATACCAAAAGCAAATTAGTAGACACCTAACAAATTTTTATACTGACATGTGAGTCTAGTATAAAATTTAAATGAATCAAACAAATTCACAGATGGAGGAAAAGTGAACTATTCCTACATTTGATACCCTTGAATAACAATGAGAAAGGGAGAAAATAAATGAGATGGTTCATGGGTAGCTTTTCACGTCCTTGAAACTTTCAAAGTACRTACAAATACAAAAGAAACTAGACATACAAATTAATGATAAATTTATAGCCTGGAATTATATTTAAACAACTGTGAAATGGTACATTTGACAAAGAATATGAGCACTTCATCCTGTACCAATGTAAGAACTGTAAGAAATACGAGTAAATCTCCCCCAAGAAGACTAAAATAACCTCCAATCTATCTGGTTTTCTTTGAGAATTTCTCCAAATTCTAAACAGTTGTATATTAAAACAACATTTACCTGCGTGGATGCGAAGATCTTCCATCGTTCCTCGTCTTATTTTCAAGTATATTGAGCTCAGAACTTTACTGAAGGTTGATATGAATCTTTAGTTAACATTCACTCTGCGATCGGTACATAAAACTCTATAGAAAATCTGGAAACGAAGAAAATATATTTCTGCAAATTCAAGCACTTTCACAATGTCTTCGGTGTTTTTCCCTAACCAAAGGAAGCCCAATCCAAATAAATTTCCACCAAACCACAGGCAACCCAAACGTCATTATTTCAAAAGCGCGTTTGGTTTATGAAAAAAACTTTCTAATCCATTTAAAGTAATTTATCAATTTTTGGAGAGAAACTTAAACGAATTTTCTCTACAGCTTAATAGGTTTCAATTCGACGTATTTGTCTTTCTGTCCTTGGTACCGAGTACGGACGACTCACTTCGTAACAAATAGACTGCGTGCAGTCTCACTTTCCCTCCAGACGAGTGTTTTAAGATTCCTGTGCACGCGCGTGGAGATCGGAGATTCTCCCCGCTTATTTGGCTCCGATCTCCGCGCGAGTGCACAGGAACCCCAAAACACTCGTCTTTTCTGGGAAAAGTCGGACTAGTACTGCTCGCATTGTGGGTTGAGTCAACCAGTGATAATCCCCGAATCATACGAAGGACGGGGATGGTCGTCGTAACTGCTGGCTACGGTCGTCGGTCTAAAGGACATATGTTCGGATCAGAAGGGCTTCATTCACAAACATGTTTTTTCTCACTCTTTCATCTAATGACCATAATTTATGACAGTCGGTTTATAGGTTAGGTCGGGTGATCCTCAGTGACGGGCGGGAAAAACGCAATCTTCAGAGTCGAACGCTAAAACTCTGAAAAAAAATTCCTCTACGATGAGCCTGGCAAAGGATCGTTAAACTCTGCGTTTTGCGTTGAAAACCACCGTCTTCGAGGAAACTTGTCTACAAAAGGTTTCCTTAATATCACGTCGAAAGTGAGATTTTCAACCGGCTGGCCTTAATTTCATGACAGTCACACAAGCCAGCCAGACATTACGTGTGATCTATGAGCATCCTACTGTGCGAAAACCAACAAATCTAAATTAAAGACAGGAGTTGCTATCCGATTTAGACAACTGCGCTCACAGAATAGGGAGCCCTAATAACAGTTTGCTCTCGTAGATCGGATTCCGCAGCCTCTCGGCTTGAGAAGACTTATGTCAATCCGTAAGCAATACTGCCAATTGTAACTCTATACCTTATCAACTTTTACCCATCATCTGTCGGGACTCTCGTTATTTTGTGAAGCACCAAGGATGTGGGCTACTCTGTTAGCTACTTCTATTAACTGAAAGACGTTGTCGGAGTACTATTAACACAAGATGTTTAGTACCGAAGCGAACAGAAGTAGAGTTATGAAGACAATGCTAGTTTTGAGTCATCTTGTTCTTCTTACAGGTAAAGGTATAAAACGATTCTCGAGCACTACAACCATTGCTACAGTTAGATAATGAGATGCTACAGTAAGATAATGAATGTATGTATACATGAATATTAAGGTTTTTTTGTTCGATTAATCGGTGTCGGTGGAATTCTGTCTAAATCAAAAGTAGCAATAATTAAGCCTAGATTCAAGCTCGCGTACTTTAATATACATCTCATACTTGACACTTCTCGTGTTTAATTTTACTAGACACGTAACTAGCTAAGTATCACTGAGGTACTATCCAAAAGGTATTTAAAGAATAGCATTTTCGACTAACATTTCACGGGGGCCAATTTACGATAATGTAAATTCTTTACTTTCGTTTAGTTTTTGTAGAAAATGTTTTAGGTGCTGATTGTCGACGTAACGTTATCCCAAGAGATCTAAATGTCTTTGTTTATATTACATTTTTATATCAGTAATGCCTCACAAATTTATCTAATATAAAATAAGTCTTAAACTTTAGTATTCAGGCACAGTTTTATATGAGGGGTTTGGGGGTAGAAAAAGCTACGATAATATTTAGTCCGTGATGTTTATACGTTGAGAGGGATCTATTTGTAATGGTGTCTTTAGGTCACGCATGACTACAATCAGAGGAAAACTCAAGTCAATTAAACCCATGCTAAGATATGAATACTGGAAAATCAATTAACTTATAAAAACATAGAAGCATGGGGAAAAACAACGGAAAATTTCCCTCACGAGAACAACTACCTCAAGAATTTCAAATGCGTTTATCACAATAGAAGCCGATTCAATGTCATGTAGAAATAGATTCCAAGTTTACTTGTTGTGAAGTAAGTTTATTTTAAATTAAAGATGTTATTGTATGGTTTTGGAATGCCAAAACTTATCTTTTCCTCAGCGCTTGCGCGGGTCGAGGTCAGTCGAAAAGGTCGCTGAAGAAACAATAAAGAAAATAAGTCAAAGTTGGCCCCTGTCTATGAAACACAAGAACATTCTAGATTTTACTATTCACAGCTTAGCGCCTCGATTGATAATTGTTAATTGTGAATGGATTATCAGGATAATTGATAAATTCTTTGGATTTGATTTTACTATTTTGCGTTGTTTGGAAGCATCACTCATCGACTTTCCCCTATAAAATGGCAAAATGGCAATCTGGTGATGGAATCGCTAATTGTAATTGTCTAGTGCGACGATTTATCAGTAATTGGGAATAAATGCAGCGTTATATTATAGGGCTTTTCTTTCTTTCTTTCTTTCTTTCTTTCTTTCTTTCTTTCTTTCTTTCTTTCTTTCTTTCTTTCTTTCTTTCTTTCTTTCTTTCTTT